ATCTCCCCGCGTCCCTGTGCCAATCGTGGATGTGGGCGGGCGGAGAGTGTGAGGCGGGAAGGAGGTGCGGCGTGTAGAGCGTGGATGCGGGCGGGTCTGGCAGCGGTGAACGTGAGTTGGGGAGGAGGTGCGGCGCGCGTTTGTGGACCCGTGAACAGGGCCAACTGATCGGAAGCCGATTAATCGTTTATTGAAAAAGTTGGCAACTTTTTCAATAATCGATTATAATCGATTATGTCGATTAGTTGTTGCAGCCCTATTGAAAGCCTATGGAGGTCCTATTAACATCAACATGCTGAGATAAATGACCAATAAACAGATGGTGCGCAGGTGTGGGCAGCCCCGAACTAGGATTTTCAGATTTATAAAATTAAAAAAAAGGTTCTGCAGTGTAAATTTACCAGTCAAAAGGAGAAACAGCCATTTCCACAGCATGTCTATTCTGGCTCATGTGATCTGAAGCAGCTATATTTGGTCATGTGACTCACAGCAGTTCTGCATTATAAGTATCAACATTAGCCAAGTTAGTCACTTTTACTGAAGACTTTTCTGATGTCAGCAGCTCACCGTATTGCAACTGCAGCCTAGACCATCCACTAGGTCTCCCTTATGGGTCAGTAGATTTTTTAGAAATCGAGAAAACTGATGGCTGCTGTAGAGACACTTTCCATCAGTTTTTATACACGACTTGCTATACCTTAACATTTTTAGACATGACTTTCCATACCGTAACAGCGGATTTACAAAAGCAAGCAAGTTTTTGTAACAAAAGTTTTATAAAATTTCCACAAATAGCGTAGACAGTACACATAGGTTTCAGTAGATATGGTTTTCACATAGGTAGGTTGGGTACATAAAAAAGAAGGTACAAAATTATCATACATGCTATATGGTTATCTACTGCAAGCAAAGAGTATGGAAACGAGAATATTTTGAAGGAGAGAGGAATAAAGAAAGGGGGAGGAAGGGTGGGATGGGTAGTGAGTCCATCGGTTTGGTGTATTGTTGGTTGCATTGAGAAGTCGGTTTAATGGTTCCGCTGCCTATCTCCGTTATGGGGGCATCCACCTGTCCCACAATAATCCACCTATAGATGTCTAAGGGTCTCCACATCCAAGTCAGGATGTTGGTGTAACACCCAAGGCTCCCAAATCTTCAAAAATTTAGCGTGTGTATCTGTTAGGACACTGGATAATCTCTCATTGGTCATGATGTTGTCTAACCTAAGGGTAAATTCGCGATATGGGATGATTTGCTTTTTCCAGTTACCTGCTAGAGTTAATTTGGCCGCTAGAAAGATCTGATGTGCTAAGGAGCCTTGGGGTGCAGTTAAACCAGGTATTGTTGTGTGTAATAGGGCCTGTACAGGATTCTTAGTGATACGGGTGTTAAATAAGCGGGATAGTAGCCGATAAATTTTAGTCCAGAAGCGGGAGGCGAACGGACAGGTCCACCAAACATGGAGCATGTCACCAGGTAGGGTGCAACCACGGAAGCAGGCAGCGGATGAGGTAGGGAATATTTTGGCCAAACGAGTAGGGACCAGGTACCAGCGAAACATCACCTTATATGCCACTTCTATATTGGTGACACTAAGAGAGCATCGGGAAATGTTTCTCCAGGCCCTGCCCCAATCCTCCTCCGTCCAATCTATATTGAGATCAGAGGCCCATTTAGCAGGATAGGAGTGTTGATTAATGCGTGTCAGAGAGTTGAGTTTGGAGTACAAGATTGACACCTGTTTGGGCCCATCTGGCGAGTGCAGGCATATATGCTCAAAGCAGGTAAGTGACCTGTGTGGAGTTATCCGGAAAAGCAAGCAAGTTTTATGTATGAACGAGTCTGCGAGCTGCTTTCTATTATATTTACATGTAACCACCTAATGTAAACACTCAGATACACTCTAATACATTATGACTCTCAGCTAAAATCTAGCCACAAGTAATGTTAAGGAGTGAGTCCAACTGAAACAGCTACAAACACACTGAAACCATACAAAAATATTTGCATTCAGCTTTGGCAAACACAGACTGACCTGTTGTTTTATTCAGGACAGTTGTGGCATTAAGATAAAGCATTTCTAATAAAATGTTATCGGAAAAATAAACAAAATGCAAAGGCACCAAACTAAATTGTATGAAATAGGACTGGATTTGGCAGGTCGTGTTAAAAATTTCTTTTGCAATGTGTGAAAGTGTTATCTTTAAACAGTGATTTAAGAATCATACCCATGTTTTACACATACTGCTAACCACTTGAAAGATTTAAAAGAGAACTATTGCCAAACTAATTTTTTTTGTATGTAGCTCTTTTAGGGTCACAGAAGGGGATATTTGCTAATGTACTCCTGTGACCCAAAACTCAGCATATAGCGGGCTACTGTCCATATATGCTGAGAGCGCAGAGCTGTACTGCAGCCAGGAAAGATCCCGACAATATTGTTAGGATCCACCCCACTGACTGATTTTGACAGCTGGCTCTGCCTTTCTAGAACCAGAGCCAGTCGTGCCTGCCCCCTCCCCTGTCTGTGTCCCCAATGAGCATTGATGAGCAGAGAGGGGAGGGAGAAATCCCTGCAGGGAATATATTGATCGACAGTCACTGCTCTCTGAAGATAGAAGACCATAAGTTGAGCGATCAGCAGTATGTGATCACTCAGTTCTCGATCTATAGAGCCGGTGTGTGAAAGCTGCAGTGTTATACACCGGCTCAAACTATTGAGAGGGGTGTATTTTACTTTTTAGGGAGTTAAAGGATTACAAAACAAAAATACTGTTTTAGGGGGGTTTTTTAATGCTCCCGATCTGTTAGAGGGAGATGGGAGGAAGTTCATATTTTGCCCAGAGATGGGCTTTAAGGCACTGGCTCCGATTGCTAGCCTCAAAAGAGATAGTGAGATTTGGAGATGTCACTATTGTGCTGCTCACTGTTCTCCTTTCTGAAGACATGAGGAACTAAGCTATTATCCTATATGAGTGTACCTGTGGCCTGGCTATGGATTTAAGGATTTACACATTTGTAAAAAAAATCGGCAGTAAATGAGCTTTAAATCCCAACTATATTTTTTTTATTTTTATTAGATCAATTACATCAGACAGCTTGGAAACAGAAAGTGATGAACACTTTGCATTTGTCTTTCTTTTCAATGCTCCCTCATCATAAAACACTCGTGTGTCCAGTGGCTGCAGCTAAAGACCGCTGCACGCTGTGTAAACCTGGCCCTACACTGCTCCAAATTCAAGCAGTATGTAGCCCTGCTGGCACCCCTCCCTTCCCCAAAAGTCAATTTTTCTATTTACTTTTGTCAAAGGAGCCAAACTGAAAATACAATAGCCAGCAGGAAAGATTCCCTCATCCATGCTGTTTATTGTGTAAAAACACATCTATGGTCAGCTTAAAAGCAAAGCAATATTGTTGGGATTCAGAGCCAGCTCTGCCTATGCCCTCCACCTCCTTCTGTCCCTTCAGTGAGCACTGGAGGAACAGAAAGGGGATGTCTGTGGGGAGCAATGACTGACATTGACTGCTCTCTGCAGGGAGGAGACTGTGATCTGCGCAATCAGTGGTTTGCGATAGCTCAGCTCTCGGTATGTAGAGCCATAATGGCACATCTGCAGTGTTCTATGCTGGCTCTAAGAATTAAGAGTATTTTTTAACCTTCAAGAGTAGCAGTCTCTCTGCAGCGGTCAGGCACACCCCCTGCTGAATCAGCCTCACAATTCTGCAATTAGCTGCTAGGGCGAGCGTTGCTGAATTTAGAGCTGTACAAGTGACAAAGCTCATTTACTGTTCGCAAGCATTTTGCAGATATCAGACCCTGTATAAGGTAGGTGCCATAACTGATAAAACATATTAGGTCCGAGATCACTTTATGAATAATGAAAGTTAACTAATAACTAGCTACTATAAATCAACGCATCTAACAAAGTTTTGCAGGAGCCCCATAATGTATCTTCACTTCTCTTGGAGAGCGTATAGCAATCCTCAACTGAAGCTGACCATACACCTTAAGGCTGGGCCAAACAAGAGGAGAAATCATTTGATTCCATTATCTGTGCTAAAGAGCATGAATTAAGGAATCTCCCATGTCAGCTATTATATTCTATTAAAGTGACATTAAACCCTCAGATTTTTTAAACATAAACCAATACTGTAATGTGTGCCTTACTGTAATCCATGGTTGTTTCCCTTCTCTTTGCTGCTCTTCCTTTTAAATTTGTAGCTCTTCTCATGCTGGGCAGAACTTCTGTTTTGCAGCAGACTGCCTTGTCTCAGGAATGGATACACGGTGTCTGTGTAAAGGTTCACAACCTGAGCCAGCACTACAGGAAGAGGCACTCAGCTGCAAAGGGAAGTTCTCCCCCAGCATGAGAAGACATGAGGATGTAAAAGGAAGAGCAGCAAAGAGAAGGGAAACTACCATGGATTACAGTAAGGCACACATTACAGTATTGGTTTATGTTAAAAAATCTGAGGGTTTAATGTCACTTTAAATTTAATCCATGTATGAATGGGGTCCACCCAGTAGCCTGATTGGCTACTGGCTATGCCTCAAAGAGCCCCCTGCCCATCTGTCCTTCCAGTGAGGGAGTTAGGACTAACAGTCATCAATCTTTACAGAGAGAGACCGTGAGCTGATCAGCGGTTACATGATCACTCAGCTCTAGGTAGAAAGTCAGTGTGTGACAGCTGCAGTATCTCACATTGGCTCTAAGTATTGGAAAGAGTGTATTTTACTCTCCCAATTCTTCTCCTTTCAGCCTTTCTTCTGACAAATGCAGCAAAAATAGAGGAAACATACCAATGGACCTAAGCCTGGATTTTATGAAAGACTCATCAACCCCTTCATCAATCAAGAATCATATGGAATGTTTCCTGCCAAAAGAAATGTCTTTCTGTAGCTGGTTTGAAGGAAAAGGAATAAAACGTTCCACCATCAATTCTTCCAAATGGAATGTAAACTGTTTTTAAAAGATTTACAGTACAATCAAGAAAATGTTTTCTCTGGCAAGTTTCAGTTAGGTGTGCTAGCAAAGTCTTAGATTACATTTTCTTTTTAAATCTATAGTCCTTCATCTATAGCCTGACTAAAAAATAAACGGATAAAAAATGTTTGAAGACTAAGTATTCCTGAAAATCATATTGAGGTAAAGAAATCCAAATGGTATATTATAGTTAAGTGTTGGCTATATCCGCTGTTTTCATGGAGGGCCAAAGATATGCTGATCAGGCAAACTATTGCTACCAAGTACTTTCCTGCTGGCTGAGAGCGACTTTTATTTAATCCTTTGGCAAACTGTATGACTAACCATCCCACTGCAGATAACAAACTGCCTAACAAGACAGGCACAGGAAGCTAAGAAGCTTGAAAAGCTTTGGAATGCTCACAGAGGGAAATACTGCAATTTCTCAATTCACTCAAAGGGCACGGATACTTATAACTCTTCTAAGACTGAGTACAAAGAAACCAAGCACACTATAGGGAGAGATCATTCTTATAACTCCATTATGGCTTATACAAGAGTCTTTCAAAACAGGGTACATGCACCCTAGGGGGTACTTCTGGTGATTATTATCACTGTTGTGGTATTTGTGAGTGAATACTAATTATGTGCATGCTTTATTTTTAAAACATTAGATATTAAAATTAATAATATTGCAAAAAGAATGTTTTGTAGGTATAGCCCACGTTCACATAGCATAAAAATAATCACAGATCTCCATAAACATTTTCTTAGTTTTTAAAGCATACAGTATTGCAAAAGAAAAACAGAAGGTGTCAGCAATGATTACACTATTTCAAAGGTTACTTGAGATAATGTGACCTACACCTGTGTGATACTGGAAGAAAATGTCCTGCAATAAAAGGAGTTCACGATTTAATAAGTGTGCTGTGCATACAAACATTAGGCTGCATTCACACGAGGCTTCAAGGGTAATTCCCCTTTCCCAGGTGAATTTGGGAAAATTGAATTACCCTCTCCAATCTGGCCCCCTCTCCCCTCCAGCCCCTATACTTACCTTTGGGTTAACTCTCCTTCCCCTCTGCCAGTACCAGTGTACTATACGTACTCTATACTGCCGTGCAGCACAGACCTGCGCTCTGTATTTTGAATTTCACTCGCATATGGCGAGCACTCATTGGTCAGTGCAGTCAGAAGTGCTCGCCATTGGTGAACAACATTTAAAGTACAGAACGCAGGGCTGTGATACATGGCAGTATTAAAATTAAAGTATTAAAAAACCTACAGATTTGTGTGTCAGGAATCCCCTTCAGATGGCCACTGCACCCATTCAAGTGAATGCCAGGGTGACAGCGGCCACATCTGTAATTGGCAGTCCTCATGTAATCATTCATGGTACGATTACCTGTGATTCGGGATAGAGGACTATCCTTGGACTAAGGATAGATGAGCCTTGAGACAATCTATCCCAAAACGCAGGTAATCGTGTCATGTACAAAGGTCCTGCAAAAACTGTACAACATAAACAGAGATTGGGTACTCTAGCACTCTGGAGCAGGGGTATGCAACCTCGGCTCTCCAGCTGTGCTGAAACTACAAATCTCATAAGGCATTGCAAGCCACAGGCATGACTCCCAGAGGCAGAAGCATGATGGAGAGCCAATGTTGCCTACCCCTGCTCTGGAGTAATAATTCATTGACACACAACTGGTAGACAGCCTCTGACCCCAGACAAGGCCAATGGAATGCTATACAAATTAGGAACACGGTTACAGACGTCCTCGGATATATATATTTTACCCCAAATAAATGGTAGATCCTAATCAAGTGAAGATTGGTACAATTCCATATACACAACATTTTGTGATTAAATTTGTCTAAAATAATATACCAATTTTCTAGTGCTTCTAACACTATGTCACTTTGCCTTTCAAACATCTTGGTTAGGTGACTTTTAGAAACAAATACATTTATAAATGACTGAGTTAATTATTAGTAGTGCAAATCAATACATACACGCAAAATCATTTACAGGGAAATTCTAGTTTAGTGCAGGTCATCCTCATCCTTTTTCCTTTTTCTCCAAGCAGTAGTTAATCATCTATGTAAGTATACATCTACTTTCACTCTATAGCCTGCAGATACAAAAATCAACCTCTCGAATATGTTCGCTATCACTCACCATCTCCTTCCAGCAGGGAAAAAAAAAAGAATTCATCATCATGCTGTATATGCCCATCATCAGCTCGTGACTGAATGTGGAAACTTCATAATTACAGGCCTCAGAAAGACAAAAAGGTATGTCCTGTCAAGCTCAGCTGCAGGAACAGTCGCTCACAGGAAGGCACACAGTATGTCACTTTCTTTGTAATCAGTGTTAACAAATTTTAAAATGTATGAAAAAAATAAGGAATGTTTGTTTTATTAAAATTAGAGAGCATATACCATTAAACCGTGCAAGGCGCAAATTGCTAAAAGCAGTAACCAATAACAACCAATCAACATCTATCTTGTTCTATGGCATCTGTAAAGTGAATTCTGATCATTGCTACACTTGGCCCTCTGCAATGAATGCTCAAAAAAAAGCAATAGTCTTTTGGCATTATTATGAAACAAAACCTGTGTGTAAAATTCAGTAGTTATGTTAACCAGAGCAACTTTTCTATAAGCCGAAAGTAGACCACCCTTGCAGACAAAGACCATATTTTGCTGATCTGTCAAATGTGAGTTCCACTCCACAGGGTATTACCACATAAAGGATTCCGTCCAAAACACAAGCCACTGACGGCACCAAAAAAGCTAATAAAGGATACGGAGATCAAAGCGATCAAAGCACGCCAACTAAATTAATTCCGAATGAAATATGGGTACAATCTAGAAGTACATGGCTTGCTCTTTTAGACTTGGCTTGCTGTCAGGTTGCATATGCTCCCTCAGAGACAATGCGTTCCTCAGAATGTAAAACAAGAGTTGTGTGTGGGGAAGAGAACTCAGGCAATTATGTTAATGTGCTCCGGTAATTTTCTGGAAGTGATATGGTATTGGAGAATAGTAAAGAAAACTGGAACAATATTTATTAAATGTATAAAGCTTTTAGTGTACTTTGAAAAGGGTAGTAGGAATGCCTGTCTCCTGTATCAGCTAAGCCTTACCTACTGTGCCGCACTCTCTACAAAACACATGACCGTGTTAGCTTTAGGAGGTTAGGTAGTAGAAGTTTTAGGCGTCATCATGATATACAAAATGGTGAAGATTAAAGTATATCTAAAGCAAGAGTGGACAAATTAATCCGGATTTCAGGATCCAGTCTGTGCAATGCAGGAGCCAGTAGGATTTTTTTTTTTGAGAAGCTGGCTTCATTGACAACAGTTAGAGAAAACCTCAAACGTTAGGTGCCAGTGTTAATTTTAAGGAGCATTGGCTACCTGGCTCCTGGGATTTGCCAGCACTGATCTAAAACACACTTTTTTCCCTTTAGTTTAGTATTGCATGTGGAAGTGTTAAAAGTAATGTCAAATTTGTATTGACATCTGTGTTCCCATTGCAAAGATATACCCTCTCTATTTGTCCTGGTGGCCTTTGTTACCAGGACAGAACAGTGATGGCTAATCCAAGGATTTAACTTCGTCACCAAAACAGCGGGTGAAGAGAAAATTTGCAATGGTTACACCTATTCTAGGGACAAATCTCTAAGAAGGAATTGCCTCTCACTGACCTCCATAGCTGCAAGTACTGTGAAGCAATAAAACGTCACAGCAAAACCACTGAAGTTGTTCAAGTTCACAGCTTCTCATTTCAGGTAGCATTGGCCACCTGACTCCTGGGATTTGTCCAGCGCTGGTGATGGTAAACGCAGAGCACATGCTCTGAGAGGAGGAACAGGGTAAGCTGAGCTGCTACAGGAATGACTCAGTTTTTGAATGAGTTCAGTTTTTCTGTTGTGAACTTCGAGCATGAATCACTCCACAGTGCACTGGCGGAACTACCACCAGGGTCGCAGCGGTTGCAAATGCGACCGGGCCCTGGTGTTCCACCACTTGATGCTGGTGTAGTGGGATTCTGTAGTGCTGACTTCTATTATAATGTATTGCTGGAACTTGTAGTCCCGCATAGCTGGTGGTATTCTACATTGCTGTATGATGGTTATACAGCAATGCAGAATAGCACCAACTATGTAGGACTACAAGTCCCAGCAATGCATTATATTATTAAGTAGGGATGCACCAGTGCCAATACGGGGCATTTTCACGAGTACTCATACTACTCATACCGGTGTTCTGTCGAGAACGCCGACGGAGTCGAATTTGCCGACCTCAGCATCTGCGCTTGCGCACAGACCAATATTAATTCACAAAATATCTCGTTTAAATCGTTAATTGTGACCATTAATAATATTCCATCCATCATTTCCTGCCATGGACGGCATATTATTAACGGTCACAATAAACCATTACAAACGAATACTTTGTAAATAAATGTCGGTTTCCTTGTTAATCTCGTCTGTATGTAAGCGCAGAAACTGGGTCAGCGTTCTCGACAGAACACCGCACTAAAATTTTAAACAAGCGGCCGCCTGAGGTTCTGCGCTTGCTGGGGACCTCGGCAGCCTTCCTGTTAACATGCGGTGCCATGGCGGTTGGGAGGGGGCCCTTCATGGTTTCTTGCACCGGGGCCCTGAAGGTTCTAGTTACGCCCCTGCCACAGTGCCTTACTAATTGATAACAACATGTAGGTATTTGACCGTCCATAGCACGGCCACACTTTCACTTTAGAAACTATGGATATCTTAGATATACTAAGAGTATAAAAATTTTTTAAGTCAAAGATAGCCAAAAGGAGCTTCTGTTCTGAAAGCAGGAAGTAAAACTTTGTTTACATGTCAGCAGGACAATATGACATTAAACAATTAAA